GTGTGCCTAAAATGTACCAATAAACCTAACAAAAAATCCTTCGTACCCCATCCCTAAGATGCCTTGACCACCCCAAAACAGCGCGCGGTCAGCAGAGAAGCGCTCCTGGCCAGCGTTTCCGGGCTGTCCTTAGGCAATGGCTACGTGGTGTAAGTCACGACTTCCTCCTGTAAGAGTCCTTCCTCCTCTTCGTCTCCCCTAGGTGCCCGTTCCTCTCCCCCTTTCCTTCCTTCCAACTCTTCTTCCTTCCTAAAACAACGCGTAGACAGGACTTTTTAAGCAAAGAGCCACCTGACAAAGCAGGTGTAAACTTCTCGCGTTAGTGTGGAAGAGGCGGGCTCCACCCGGTCCGCGTCTGCAGCTAGACAGGGGTGGGGATCCAGCTGCGCTTGGCCACTTCCTGGAAACAGAACCATTTCCAAGGAGGACTGAGGCAGGCTGCTGGCTTACAGGAGAGAGGACCTGAGGAGGAAGCCAGCCTTTGTTTTGTTTTGTTTGAAACAGGATCTGGCTATGTAGCCCAGGCTGGCCTCAAGCTCGCAGCCATCCTCCTGCCTCAGCCTCCTCCGTGCTGGGATCACGGGCGTGCGCCACCACACCCGGCTTAGACTTCGGCTGGAAACTTTTCCATTCCATTATTCTGTTCCTTCCCCTTCAACCCTGGTCTTTTTAATGGGAAAAAACCAGGGCTCCGCGGGAGTCATCTTGCGTGGAGCGTTAGGATTTCATTACCTCCGCACGTGCGCATTTGGAGCCTTTAATGTGGTGGGATAATTCTCAGCCTCCCGCTCGCGCCTGGAGCCTCCCCGGGGACCCCGGCGCCCCTCTCGCTGTCCTTTTAGACGGCGCGGTTTCTGCGCGTCCCGACCTCGGCCGCCAGCCGGAGGGAGCGCGGACGGCCTGCAGGGGGCGCGCGCGGGCCGGCGAGAGCCACTCCCCCCGCCCCCCGCCCCGCGTGACCCGGCTGGGCGCAGCAAGCGGTTACGACCGCTATAAAAGGCGCGAGGGCGCGCGGAGCACGCCAGCATCCCCGCCCGCGACGCCTGTGTGAGCCCCGGCCGGGAGGGAGCCCCAGGTCGGCCCCGAAGGCCAGCACACACCCACCCCCGTCCAGGCCAGCCCCGGCTCCCGCCCAGGTGAGCCCAGGGCCAGGTGAGTCCCCACCACCCTGGTGAGCCCAGGCCAGGGGAGCCCCCGGGGCAGCCCCCAGATCAGCCCCCGCCAGGAGCGCCCCCAGGTGAAGAGAGCCCCCCAGATCAGCCCCCAGATCAGCCCCCGCCAGGAGCGCCCCCAGGTCAGGAGAGCCCCCCAGGTCAGCCCCCACCCAGGTGAGCCCCCCCAGGAGAGCCCCCCACCCGGCCAGGAGCGCCCCCCAGGTCAGGAGAGCCCCCGGGGCGGCCCAGCCCAGGTGAGCCCCGACCAGGTGGGTCCTGCCGCTCCGCTCCGGGGCCTTAGAGCAGGTCCCGCAGGTTGGTGCCCCAGAGCTGGCTCTATCGGCCCGAGCTTTGATCACTACCTTGGATTTTGTTTTTTTCTTCTAGGTTTGGCGCTCTACGCTGAGGTCATCATGGGTGTTTTCCAAACCCTGATGAAAAAGAAAGAGGTAAGCCTTTATTTTATGTATTTTATTTTTTTGACCTACGCTGTTAAAGTACTGGAAAATCCTGCCTAAAAGCGTTCCTTTTGAAAGATGAAAGGATGGTAGATTTTGAAGAAAATATAAAGGTGATGTGCACACCCACGCCCCTGCACACACCCCACCCCACGCCAGCCATCTCCCTGTCCTACCCGCCCCTCTGAGGCTCCCGCTGTCCCCAGCTCATCCCTCTGGCGGTGATCGTAACCCTGGCGGCCGGCGGAGCGTCGTCCTTCGCGGTGTACTCCCTGCGGAAAAGCGACGTGATGTGAGTGGGCCGGGGGGCGGCGGTCGTGCGCTCGGGTCGGGGCGTGAGGGCCGTTTCCTGTTTGTTCCTGGGGACAAGAAGGTCAGACTGCGGGCTTGGACCCGGCCTAAGAGCATCCTGATGGTTGAAAGATGACTCAGTTCTTTGCAGACACTTGTTTCTTCCTTGTGTCTAGGTAAGAATCCTTCTGCTTGATGGGCCCCCTCTACTTCTCTGTGGGGAAGGCTGATGTGTTTAAACTTCAGTCTAAGGTTTTTAAAGTTCTCAAAGTATTTGTGGGAAATGCGTGTCCTCCGATGTCATCACTTTAATTGCACTTTATAATTTCAGCTTATTAGAATGATAGTATGGGCCGGGGATATAGCTCAGCGGCACAAGAGCCTGCTAGACAAACACAACGTCTTGAGTTCGATTCCCGGAACCATAAAAAAAAAAAAAAAAGAAAAAAAAAAGCAGAATGATAGTGTGATAGAACTGATACATCCAGCTGCCACAGTGAACCCTGATTTCACCTTGGGGGTGAGGAGGCGCAGAGCCCTGTCTCCTGGTGTCTGAGGAAGCAGTGACCGGAAGCCTGTGTGGGGAGACTGGGTTCTGTCCCTACCTAGCGTGTGTATGGGTCCAGTATCAGCGTTCATTTCAATTCACTTCCTTCAGCCTTTAACTAGCTTTCTTTTCTTCCCAGTATTGATCGAAAAAGAAACCCAGAGCCTTGGGAAAATGTGGATCCTAATGTACCTCAAAAGGTATTGCTCAGTAAAAAATAATTGACATTGAGTCCACACTTTGCCACCCCTCCCAGCAAAGCAGATGAACGCCTTACAGAGCGCCACTTGATGTAGCATTCAGGACAGCCGTCTAGGGTTGTAGGGATGTATGTAGTCCATATCCTTGCTCTCGCACTCACAAGTAATTTTAGAGCATGGCTTTTCTGAGCCTCTCAGAATCTGTAAGTCAGGGGGCCGGGGAGTTAGCTCAGCGGCACAGCGCCTGCCTGGCAAGCACAAGGTTGTGAGTTCAATTCCCGGTACCGGGAAAAAAAAAAAAAAAAAGAATCTGTAAGTCAGGCGTGGTAATTGTGTTCTACCTCAGAGGCCGAAGGATAAAGAAAATAAAGAGACATAGACCGGTTTGCACCAGGTGTGGCCCATAATAAGAACTCAAATGTAAACTTCTCATTACTGAAATACATGATCTCGTTCCAGCATGTCTAAAGTTAATACCAGATCTTTTGTGAGAAATACCAGGTGCTCCTGAAGATGTTCTGCTTAAGTAAAATTGTTTTAAGACCATTTGCCTTTTAAATATTTTGGAAGCTAGGAACATGAGGTCAGTGGGAATAAACTCAACAGCCTGACCGGTCAGGAGAGGCTTTTTTCAAATGCAAATTCTCAGGTAGCTGTTTGACCTTCAGAGGGACATGTAGGGTCTCCGAGGTGCTGGGGTACTGGAACACTCGAGAGACTTCGGAAATCGGGACCCGCCCCCCGCTGTCCAGTTTCCCTGATTGTGTGACTTAGATCTCTGGGTTCCATCTACCAGTGAAATGAGGGGGTCCTGCTAGGAGCCACCGTGCGCCGGCCCCGTGTAGAAGCCACGCACGTCCACTCCCCAGGGGCAGGGCCGCTTTTGGACGCTCACAGCTCACGTCCAACCTTAGCAAACTGAGAAGTGTGGACACTGAGAAATGGGCCCTGCTCATGAAAGAGGGGGCATGCGTCTCCCCGTCCTCTTGGACCCTGTAACACGCAGTTAGCCAGGTGCTGAGAGAATCAGCCTTGTTTCTGTGCAGTGCGAGCTTTAGAGACAGGAGAGGTGTTCTCTGACACGGTCGCTGTGGCGAAGCTTTGCCCAAGGGGAAAATGAGGGTGCTGGACAGATCCCCACCGAAACATTATATTTCCTTTCTCTTCAAAGCTTATAACAATCAACCAAGAATGGAAGCCGATTGAAGAGTTGCAGAAGGTCCGGAGGGCAACCAAGTGAGGAGTGCTTGCCTCGTCCGGCCTTGAGTACTCTATGAATCTAGCGGAAACACCTCTGTACAAACTAGAGTCTGGACACCAGTGTGCGGAAGTGCTTCTGCTACATTTTTAGGGTGTGTCTACTTTCTTTGGACTCTGGAGAAGGAATTGAAGGTAGCGTAGTAATAAGTGCATAGTCCAAAAGTAAGTTTCTGTGTTTATTGCCGTCAGTTGGAATTTTGCATTCTGAAAAGTTTATGTTTAGGATGCCTGAGTGTTTTCCTTGAAATGCATCAAGACTTGTAAGTTAGATATTTGGTCCGTAATAAAATACTTTTTCTGCAAGATATCTATCACAAAGCTCAAATATATGCTTAAAGGAGGGGTTCCTCTTGGGAGAAAAACACATTTTGGAGCCCAAAACTTCATCTCTGAAAAAACGGATCCGGTGCACATTTTTGGGTAAGATTTTCTTCTGTCTGCATTCATTCCCCCGGAGATATATTGAGCGCCTGCTGTTTGCAGTAAGGCTGCGAACAGACCCCCATGTTGGCCGGGATCTGAGAGACAGGACGGTGTGTGGGATGAGGAAGAGGGGCCGGCGGGAGACATGCAGGATGGGCTTAGGAGGAGCTGGGTTCCGGGGAGGACAGGAACTTGCATTGCGCTCAGATGGGCCCTAAAGATGCCAGTGCAAGCTGGGGTACTCCGGGGAGCACAGGGGCGGGGCTTTGCCAGCAGCCCCAGATGGGGCACTTTCCCCATGCAGCTGGGAGTTGGAGACCAAAGGGCCCACCACACCCCGCATGTCCCTGGGCTGTCCTGAGAAAATGGGATGGAGTACAAAGTTGCTTTTCTTTTTTTTTTTTTAAAGAAATTGAAATATAATGCACATGTCACAGTATTCGCCCATTTAAATGGCACAATTCACTGGCTTTTATTACATTTGTAAAGTTGTGCAACATCGCCACCATGTAATTCCAGCACATTTTTACTACCACCCCCCAAGAACCTTGTGCCCATGAGCTGTTCCTGACCCCTCCGCTCCCAGCCCAAGGCAAACACTAGTAAACCCTGTTCCTTTGGGTTGGTCCTTTCGTATGGATGGGGTCACAGGACGGTGGCCATTGTGCCTGGCTCTACCTTAGCATGACTTCAGGAGCGGCGCCCCTTTCTCTGCGGAGCGCTGTCCCGGGGTGTGTGCGTGCAAGCCGAGGAGCACTTGGCCGTCTCTACCTTTGGGCTCTGACGAACGACGCTCGTAGGAGCAGCCGCACAGCAGTGTTTGCTGGCTGTGTAGTTCCGTCTCTCTTGGCTGTGTGCTGCGTTCCTAAAGTGGCCGATGAAAACCCTAAGAGCTTCTTGTTAATCTTCATGTGACTGCAGTGGAAATGGAAGAGCAGGGCTAAATTCTTGCCTCCTTCATAGCAAAAAAAATGTTCAGGTGGGAAAGGGGACGGGGGAGGGAAGGAAGGGTGCTGGAGACCATACAAGGTGGCCCTGAGCAGGATTGAAGACTGACCAGTCGGCTCTCCGTGTTCACGGTGGGTCTCTCCCAGGCCCAGGCTCCTTGTCTGGAAATGGCCGACTCCAGCAAGTGAACCTCTGTGAGTCACTGACCCCCACTAGAACCTGTAGTGGTGATGAGGCCAGAAAGCCTCAAAGGACAAGACAGGATCACGGCCAAGGAGCCTGGGCCAGATCCCAACTAGATGGAGACTGTAGCCTCAGGCGTCCCATTCTTCAGTGGACTGACTTCAGACCTTCCTTGGAGAAGTCCTTGAGTGGTTCCGCCCCTCATGAGCGCTCCCCTCCCTTCTTCTGATAACCAAGTACACATGGCGACCCAGAGAAGGCGGTGGTCTTAGCCCAGAGAGAATCTTGAATGCTGTGAGAGGGCTCTGATCCTCCCGGGGCCCTGAAATCACTCCACTGGCCTCTTTTTATTTAACCTTTGCTGTACACTCCTTCGGGAGATTGCAGACCTGATCAGCCCGCAATAACTATGGGAAACTATTAACCCCATAGAAGGGAAAAGAAAAAAATGAGAAAAGGTAAACGTGGAAACAGTATTTGTAAATAAGGAGGGGAGGAGTGGATGAAGTGGGGGAGGGGAATGGGAAAAAAAGAAACATCAAATACATCGTGTTCAGGTACAAATTCCCTATGATGAATGTGATCATTGTGTCTGCCTAAACTGTATCAATCAACTTAATTAAAAAAATAATAACAAGCTCTTACCAGGGACTTGGCAACCCCGAAAGGATTAAAGTGAGACTGCTTCCTCCTACATTCGTTGCTTCCTTATGGCCTCAATTTTCCCCAGGTGAAAATCCCCGACGGAATTCCATTTCTAGTTGCCTGAGCTGCTCAGGTGGAATATGATACCGCTTAGGCGAACAGCCTCGGGACGATGCCCAGTTCTCGAAGGACAGCTGTGCCTGGACTTTAAGTGCAGGCCCAGCTGAGAATGCAAAGGCTGTGGGTGTGGCCAGGCAGCGGGAGGTTGGCTAGCAGGTTGGGGAGGAGGGAGGTCAAGAGCAAGGTCAAGGGGTGGGAGGGGGTCCCCTTCCTACCACCACTGAGGCCCGACACCCTGTACCAAAAGATGAGTGAAGAGAAAAACAGAACACCTGTCTCTGAGCGTAGTTCTAGGTGCCAGGGCAGGGTCTGGATTTGAGACCCACGGCGCACAGAGGCTGCGCGTTTCCAGGGTTCGGTTCCATGGCCCAGGGCCGGCTGCGCAGGGATGCAGTTGGATGGATGGGTGTGAGCGAGGGGAGCAGCGGGGAGCCCAGCGTCCCGCGCGGTTCTTCCTGGCTCCTCCCTGCAGGTGAGGGCAGGGCCTTTCCGCGTGGGGATCTCGGAACCCGCAATCTGGCAAGGTCAGGGCCAGGAGGATTTCTTGCTGGACGAACTCTCAGATGAGAGAAGTTGGAGTCCTATTTCCAAGTTTTGTGGCTGGCTTTGGGGACAAGTGGGCCTTGGCGTGTGTGAACCAGCCTGGGAAAGAGGAATTCTGGTTTTTATGGCTTTCTCTGAGAAGAAGGGCTGAGAGGGCGGAGGACAGGAGAGGGAAGCCTGCAATTTGGGGGATCGTTTCCTGAGCCCCAGCAATGCTAGATTCCGAGATTTTTAAAATTGTTTTCTTAGCTTTTCCCCAGAATGTTTGATTTTTAGTTCAGATATAGAACGTTGGAAGATGATTAGTTCAAAGAATACTCACTTTTTATCAAATAGCATTTGGCCACATTTGCAGTATCTCTCTGTAGACACCATGAACATGAATTCCAGCCATGCTAAACCCTAAAGCTCCCCCCTGAAAGCTGAGGCGTGTGCGCACTCCCAGGGGACAGGACGCCGTCCCCCAGCTGACCATGACACTCGTGTCTCCAAAAATCAACAGCGGCTCAGCTGGGTCACCTGTGATTTCCTGCAAATGCCCTGAGCAGCTGTGTTTTCAGCCCAGGGTCCAAGCTGAGGTCCGCCTGTCGCAGCTGGCGGTGAGGTTGTACAGACCCCTCCACGAACCCGAGATCAGGAGCGAGTGTACAGCGCCCGCATCAGGTTAAATAAGCCTTATTTTTTTTAAATTTATTTTTATTTTTTATTTTTTCCAGTACCGGGAATCGAACTCATGACCTCGCACTTGCCAGGCAGGCGCTGTGCCGCTGGGCTAAATCCCCAGCCCCTAACCCTTATTTATTGCGGGCTGATCAGGCCTGCAGTCTCTCAAGCGAGTGGAAGGCGAAGGCTTAAATAAATGAGACAATGGAAATGATTTTGTTACAGGCGGCTGAGTTAGGTAGAAATACTATAGGCAGGCCAGGCCCTTGAAGGAGCGCACATGAAAGACAAGATAAGATACCTGTGGGCCAGACCTCGAGACAAAAGGACTAAACAAGTGCACCCACACACCTCCCTAGGTGTGAAATCAGGGACTGATATTCTAAATAGGTAGCAACCACCTTCAAAAAGCCAGGAAGGGTCACTAGCCCAACCCCTACAGGAAAGGCCCCTGCTCTGTATTCATCTCCGCTTGCCACGTGACTCGCTTCCCCATTTAATCCCAGTTTACTCAATTTTACCTGAACAATTACACTTGCAATCTTATCGGCTGACCATAGTTTTGTCCCACCTCATGCCCACCTTGTAATTTCCCATTTTCCCTTATGTTGGGCCCGCCTCATCTCGGGGTTTTGCTCTATTAAAAGTTCCTGGGAAGGGCAAGGTCCTTGGCAACCCACTCGGGGCCCCTTCTTGTCCCTCTCTTGGACAGAAGCTTTCTTTCCCTCAGTAAATATATTCTGCTCTTAACCTCCGCTGTTCCTAAAATTCATCCTTTGATTTTAGAGAACACGAACTTGTCCCAGATATCGTCCAGGTTGGGAGTTTTTATTTTCCTGTATAAATTTCAGGGCTCCAGGAGGGACTAACTCTCTTACAGCTTTGATATTCTCTGAGTTTAGACAAAGGCTTCTCTGTGCACCCCGTATTTATTTGGTTTACAAACAAAGGAGGAGGATACTCAAGAAAACGTGGGAATCTGGGCAGGACTTTTCCAGGTAATACATTATGTTAATTTAGGAGAACTATGTTATCTCCAGGAAGGCCTTCACAGCAGGGGTGAGATGCCTGCAGCTGCAGTCTCCTTATAGTTAATGGGGATTGGAACCAAACAGCCTCAGCTGCGGCCTTATCTTGCCCTTTGAGGAGTCACAGCTTCACAGGCCAATACAGGCCTCAGGGTGACCAGTGACTCACAGAGGTTCACTTACTGTGAGTCCACTGCCCATCTTCAGACAAGGTGCCTAAGCTTCGGACAACTCACAAGTAAACACGGAGAGCCCATTGGTTAATATGAAGTCCATCTCAGAGCCGCTTTGCAGTGGTCTCCAACAGATGTCCGCCTGTCGCAGCTGGCGGTGAGGTTGTACGGACTCCTCCACGAACCCGGGGTCAGGAGCGGGTGTACAGCGCCGTCTCTACGATGCACAAGCCCCTGACCTGGGCGGCACTGTGGACTTTAACTGTTTGTCATCCGTGGTAAGGATAATAATACCTTTGTTTTTATAGCGCTTAAATATTTAATAAGTCACAGCTTTGTGGGGCGCTCCTGCGTGCGGGGCGCCATGCTGGTCTCACGGATCTGCCGGTCCAGGGCGGGGAGCTGCTCCCCTTCAGTCACAGCGGCGTCAGGACAGGTGAGCAAGGGCAGAGGGAAAGCGTGCGAAGACCATGTTGTGTTGTTCTGCAGCTACCAAGGAGCCCAGGCGGGTTTAAGGTGCAGAGAGGAGGAGGCAGCACCGTTCGCTTCCTCAGAAGAGGAGACGGTGGCAGGTGGAGGTG